ATACTGCTTTTTATGTGTTTTTAATCAACTGGTATTGATAACAATGGACACTTCCATTGGTTTTACATTCCCAACTTTGACATTCAACTTCAGAGGTAAATGGAACACAGCACAAGTCCCCATTAACTTTCATTATATGAGGACTGGCTAGTTTATTCTTCAAATATTCTCCTTGAGTGTTTCACAGAAGAAATTTCTTATGGGTTTGTAACAGCATATTGGTGAGTAAATGATGACAGAATTTTCATTTTTGGGTGAACAAATTCCTTACCAGATCACATATGTACTTCTGCCATTTTTTTAAGTTTTCAGCAACTCTCCAAGTCCAAAACATCAAAAAGTGTGATAGATGAGAACAGCAGAGGAAAGGGTGAAAGGTTTGTCCTCTCGCAGTGACTGCCTCTTTGGCCTGACTTCACACAAACAGATCACCAACTATGAAAAGGACCAGAATCTAAAAGAGGGGATCAGTTTTCCCTGAGTCTAACCACTTACCCAGCAGAGCTCATTCTCACACACACACACACAATTCATGTCAGGGTTGTCAAAGTAACCTGATCCTAAGGCCTCCTGACATGCAGCAGTCCAGTCTGTGCTCTCTCTGCCCATACACAAAGGAATTGCTTCCACATGTTTCTAAAGGCTGCAGAGTCTCAGGGTACAAATCTTCAGAATGGGACCCTACTCTGCCAGGACACTTGCTCGCTTTCTCTCTCTCAATACACACACGTGCATGCATGTCAACTGCCATCTAGCGTTGTCTTGAACTAAAAAAAAAAAAAAAAACTTTTTATTACAGTTTACGGTTAATTGATTTATTTACATTAAGATATGTATCATTAGTTTAAAATACTCTGCATTTTAGCTATATCAGCTTAATAATACCAAGTAAAGTGAGTAATACCAAACATATTTAATCAGATTTATTCTGATTAATTATTTATTAATTGACTTAAAGTAAATTTCATTTCAGACCAATATACTTGTGTATATTAATATGCCACAGTTTCATGCAAAACGAACAAGGATCTTAAAAAGTCACTTTAATGTGTTAAATATTTAAGGCAAACCTTAAACTAAATAAGGTCCCACTTAGAATGCACACTGTTCACCATAATAATGACTTAAAATGAACATAAAACAGTGGTGAATTAAAATAAATGTAATATAAAATTGTAATGATCATACTAAACAAAACTGTAAAGACAACCATAAATAACCACATACTAATTAACAACGCCAACCATTAAAGCCGGTATGTTGTCCAGGCCTGAATAGTTAAACATACGCTTGTAGCCACTCCCCTCAGACACAAAGCAATGCAATAGATTCACAGACATGACCTAATGATTTAGAATCAACAATTGTTTTAAAAACATACTTGTTTTTTGTGACCATATGTTACAACAGAAAACTAAATATGACATAAAACTGTCAATACAACATTTTGCTAAATGAAGTGACATAAAATGCTGGTGTGAACTACATAGCCACTGTTTGACAGAAAATGTTGTAAGATGTATGTTATACTCACAACAACAAGAGACCAAGTCCTGTTTTGTCATAATGAACACGAAGAAATAAAATGGGGAAATAGTGACAATAATAAAGCCAAATACAGATATTGCAGTGTTATGCTTTATTATTATGCTTGCTTCATTGCCAACAATTTTCAATATTAAAAGCAATGCTGTATCCCACCACAACTGCAATTAATAGAAAAATTCTATAAACTGACATGCTTTAAAAACACATTATAAGTCCATTAATTTGATAAAGTGAAGCTGCAAAATTGTTTATATAATATGCATAGCCAGCATTCGTTGTGTTTTAGTTTGTATTTCTTCTTTCTTCCGCAGTTTTTGCTTAATCTAAGAGATTTTGTCAAACAAAGCAAAATCCATACCCTATACACCTCCACCAAACTTAGGAGTCTTTTCTTCAGGCCAGTCTTGACATACTGGTTGTTCATTAACCTAATTACTTAAAACTAACATAATAACCAGGAGTACTTCTTATACTGGGCAGCAGACAAAGTCTAATTTGCATATAGAGACTTAATGAGTGCATGGCAGCAGGTGCAGGAGGATGATAATTATCAGTAATGATAGTCACCTGTGACCATCTCCACCTTTTCACAAGGTTCATGCCGTTATAACAAACTTAACATGAACACCACGGACTGCATAACTGCAGAAAAAGCAAGTGAAACAAAAATGAAAGAGCAAACAGCTTATGTATATAGCATACAAAGTTATTCCTGACTGATAGGTTTTAAAATATTGCGTAATTATTGCCGACTGATAGAAAATGAGAATGAACATACTCTGTATGTTTTAATGAATAAGTACATTTTTGACAAATCAAGTCAAGCCCTGACAACTGTACGTTTTTTGTTTTCTTTAGATGAGATATGGAGTGTTGCCGTCCTCTACTGGTGATTTGCACAATGTGCAATACACAACATAGACTGTGCACACGAATAGAGCTACTACCAAAAAATTAAATAAAAAATCAAAATACTTGCTAAAAAGCAATTAGCTCTCTTTAAGACAGGCCTTTATATAATATAATTCTGATATATTGTTTTCACCATTTATTGCAGTGCTGCTTTATAGTGAATTTGATTTACCCAAGTAGTTCTCACTTATCATCAGCCAACAGATTTGAGGGTTAGATTTTACACAAAGAGGTATTTTATATATTTTAGGTATTTTATATACAACCGAAAATCAAAGCTCAGCCTTTGCAATGATTTGAGAGAGTCGAGCGATTACGTAATCTGCCACGTGACTACGTAACTGCCCACAAACAAACATGGCGCACCACACTCGTTGTTTACAGGTCTGTCTTCTAGTTTTGAGAACGTATTTTAACATCCAGAGTAATTTAATTCAATGTCTTCATGCCGTCCAAAGACAATGTCATAGACAACGTCTACGCTCAAGACGACAGGTCAGTTATTATTGGGGGTTTTTTATGCATTAAAGATGTGAAGGTTTCCCGCGCGTCCTGGAAAACCAACCATTTTACAAAGTACTTACAATGGAGGAATTTCCTCGGTGTCCTTTAAAATAATTAGCTACGTTATAGTTAAACTGTACAAAGCACGATCCAGTCTGGGGGCGGGATGTTTTCAAACCAATTATATTTCTGTAAAATAATTAAATATGCAATCAACTGTCCCATTTTCTCCGAGGCATCATATATCAGAGCATTTCTGGTTATGTGTAGGCCTGGCACAAATTAATTGCAAAAAAAGTGTAAATAATGAATATAAATATACAATTTCTTTATAAAGAATCTTTGTGTCTTGTGTTTTCCCTTTCCTGAAACATTCAAACATCTTTTTTAGCACTGTGTTTATTCCTTTAAATTTGGTCGGAATGTTTTTAAAACATGTTTTAAAATGAATAACATTCTTCCATTAATTTTTGGAGATATACTGTTTTTTGTGTGACCTTGTAAACGTATTTTTTTAAATGGGTAAATGTCACATTCATGCATGTAAATATAAGAAATGCAAACTTGCTTTAAGTTTTAAACAAAGTAGAAAGACAAAAATATGTTTTAAGCATTATTTGTATTGCCATAACAGAAAGCTGGCATTATATAATATCTGTTCACCTTCATTTTCTTAACAGATAGCCTTGGTGATCATGAGAAGACGGACATCTGCTGTGTGGTCCTATCCTCGAGAGCACAAGTGGTGGGATACCATTGTACCTGAATTCACTCCAGAACAGTTCATCCAGAATTTTCGGGTCTCACGGGAGTCTTTTGAGTACATCTGTTGTCGCCTCAAGCATGTGCTTGAACGAAGGAACACCAATTTCCGCTTGTGTGTACCTGTAAAAAAACGAATCGCCATTGCCCTTTGGAAGCTTGCCACTGGCAATGAGTACAGAAGTGTCAGTCAGCTTTTCGGGGTTGGCGTGAGCACTGTATTCAACTGTGTGCAGGACTTCTGCAACGCTGTAATTAAAGTTCTTCTGCCTGTACACATTAAATTCCCAGATTCAAGAAAGTTGAAAGAGATGGCAGATGTTTTTGAAAATCGCTGGAACGTTCCTCAATGTGTGGGTGCAATAGATGGAAGCCACATTCCAATAATAGCACCTGAAAAATACCCTCGTGACTATTTTAACAGGAAAGGGTGGCATTCAATAGTAATGCAAGCAGTAGTGGATGGCAAAGGGCTTTTCTGGGATTTGTGTGTTGGCCATCCTGGGAGCGTACATGATGCGAGGGTCCTAAGACAGTCTTATTTGTGGAAGATGTTGAATGATGGACACCCGTTAAACCAAAGCAAAGTACACATCTCTGGTTGTGATGTTGGATACTACCTGATTGGAGACTCAGCCTATCCCTTGCAAAACTGGCTGATGAAGCCATTTCCAGACACGGGCAGACTAACCCCACAGCAGCAACGGTTCAATCTCAGGTTGAGTAGTGCAAGGTCAGTTGTGGACTCAAGTTTTGGAAGGCTAAAGGCAAGATGGAGGTGCCTCTTAAAAAGGAATGACTGTAAACTGGAGCTGATAAAGAAGATGGTTTTGACCTGCTGTGTGCTGCACAATATCTGTGAGGAACGTGACCACTTCAGTGAAGACCTTTCAGCCATCCATATGTACATGCAGCCTCCCGTTCAGGCATTAATAGATCACGGACAACCAGAAGGGACGGATGTACAAGCTGCATTATTAGACTACTTTAACAGACAGGACAGTGAAATTATTCAAGTAGCAGTTTAATTTTATTACTTTTTCTATTGTTTTTCCTCAGATCCTTACTTGCTGATGGTGTGAATGTTCAATAAATGTTCCAAAACTGAGATGTATATTGATTTATTATAAAAATGAATTGCAATAAAAAAATGCAAATAAATTTGACCAACGTAAAGTGTTAATCTGTAAAGTACAAAGACATACAAAAGCAAACTTGAGACACGTGTGTATGAAGCAACAACACACAAAGTAAACAATGAACAAATGTTACAATTTTTTGTTAACAGCATTTGTAACCAATTTTAATTCTGCGATGTAAATTCCATCATCCAACATACTGTATGTTGATGCTGTTTTATGTAGAGAAGGGAATATTCCTTCTTTTTGGACTCTTAAATTGTTACTACTAACACTTTTTCATTGTGACAAAGAGCAGCAAGGAACAATCTATCAGTAAACATTTTAGGAAGGGAAAATGGCATGAAGGAAATGGCTCAACCACATTACAGGAATTTTTCAGGCTATATCAGCCAGAATGTAGATAAGTGATGTAATGTCTCTGTGTAGAAAGTAGAAACCATAGAATGCAAGATAATGCCACGTTCTTTGGAGCAAACTTTAATATTGGGCAATAACACAGCCTTTATTCCAAGAAATCTGATGGTGAGGGTTCAGCCAAGCTCTTGAACCTGTAGAACAGATGAAATACACCAAAAAAAACAGGACAAAAAGGTGTTAATGTGACTACATCAGTATACCAAGTGATAAATAAAAAGATTCTGATCATGCAAAAATGCTCACAAGGGTTATCTTGCCATTTACAACAAGCATTTTTCTCAACCTTTCGTCTCACTTCAATCACACAGTAATGTATACATCAACATACTACATAACTGATTAATGTTGCCCATTAAACTAGTTATTCATATAGCTTTACTGATGATATACATACAGACCCATACAATAACATTACTGTTACCAATTTCATGGTAGCTCCTCCAAAATATAGCTAGCAAGATGGCAAATAATCCCTTCAGCCTCATGTACAGTTGCGATTACAATGCAATTCTGGAAAAGCATTACTTGCTCAAGCCAGCTTACGGCCTAAAACACCAGGATGGACTTACTTTTCATTGTCTTCTTGACTGATATCAAGTATGTTTGTGAAATCTGTTGGGTCCTTTATGGTGCACGATGAACGCTTGTTGACATCAATGTCAATGGTGCTCTCTTCCATCTGTGGCCTTTTATTCAAAGTCATGAAGGGAGTTTGCGTTTGTGTCGTAATGGTTTCACCTGAATCAATGAAATTTCAACACACAAATTAAAATCAAATCCAATAAACACAAGAAAACAGTTTATTCATGGTTAATGTGCTGAAGTTAGAAGCCTATAAGTTTACCTTTACTCCTGTCGAACACATCTGGGTTTCCTACACTATTTCCACTAGCTACTCATGATCTCTATATGACAGGTGGGTGGAGGGGAGTCGTCGATGTTGTAAAGCATAAAAAAAAAAAAAAAAGTAATTTCATGGGTAGAACAAGTTATTATATTTTGAAGACAGATTAACAAAAAATGTTCTGTAATACAATGCACAAAACAATAATTCCAAATAAAACCTGGAATGTATATTAATAAAGTAACTTGAGGTTCAATTTCAGTTTCGCTTCGACTTTGAACTGTAAAAAGTGTGCAAATGAGAATTAAGCATGCAAAAGGAATCCTGTGCTCATGGCTTATTTCCCTGCTGTTCCTCCATTAGTGCCACCATGCGTCCTAATAGTCCCAGCATAGAATTCGTAGCTTCATCCATTTTATTAAGAATGGCAGTATTAAGTTCTTTGGCGTGTGCCATAAACCGTTCATCGGCAGTTTTCAAGTATTCCAGCAGCTCCTGGTTTGAATCTCTCTTCTTTATTCTGGTTGTTCCCAGAGGCTTTCTTGGTTGGGGATGAGAGGAGCTAAAAGATGATTCAGCTTGGTCCAGCACCTCCTCAAGTGAAGAGTCTGTATTCAATACAATAAAAGCAGCACATTACTTGACGATCTAAATGTAGCAAATAGTGCATTTACATAATAATCTTGTCAAACATATGAGGATAGCAAAATTTGCAATGTGAGCTATTCCTTTGCAGAATACATTAGGCAAGTGTGTAGAAAAGAGAACAACAAAGAAAGACGATAATGAAAACTTACGGAGATCAGCTGCAGAAGACAGCGATTCCGTATTCGTCTCAAGCATGGCTGTTGCTGAATTTAATGCTTCAGTAAATTGACTCGCAGGTAGGCGTTCCAGTGCAGCGTCCATAACATCATAGTTAATGGTTTTATTGCTCCATTGGCTGCCACTTTTACTTTTCTCCTTCTTATTGTCCCTGAACTCCTTTTTAAGTTTTTTTAGTTTGTTAATGATTTGGTCGGTTGTACGAGTAAACCCATTGTTTACCATCTCTTGGCATATGTCGTCATACACTCTTTTCCTTCTTTTTGAGCTCCCCAGTTTCTTCTGGATCTCTGTGGAAGACCATATCGCAAGCAGTGCACTGGTTTCTTTTGAAGACCACAGCTGAGCAGTTTTGGGCTCGGCTATTTTGCTACCTACAAACAAAAGACTCATTAGTCAAGGTTGCCAAACTTCACTGCATAGACTAAAGTTATTTAAAACAAAGTCCACTTTGATAAGTCAGTCAGACCTGTTTTCACTTAAATTAAAGTGATTGCAAAGTAACCTCAGATCTCTTTTTGTTCTACTTTAATTGTGACAAGGTTTGTGTTTCTGTCTTAAATAGTTTGACAAACTACCGGTTTAGTCAGAGGGTGATCAGACTTTTTCTTTTTATTCAAATAATTTTTTCTGTAACCTACATTATAAACTTGCGACCAGTCCAAAAAAAGACTACTAAATTGTAAGACTAGTCTAAGCAGTTTACGCAACCAGGCACTGTATATTATTATAATTATTATTCAACATTTCTGCATTTTTTTTGTCATAATTCCTACGGTGACCGAGAAGTGCAAAGCAAATCACAATTCTGAAAACAAAATAACAAATTACAAATGCAAATGCAAGTCTAAAAAACAAAATAATTCAGAAAGCACAACAACAATTCAGAAAACATTATAACAAGTCAGAAAACACAATGACAAATTCGAAAACAAAATAACAAGTCAGAAAACACAACGACAAATCCGAAAACAAATTAACAAGTCAGAAAACACAACGACAAATCAGACAAAGCGGAAGAGGTAGGTATAGTTTGAGACAGCGCCATTGGTTTGGGATTACTCACCGCTGACTGGACGAGACATCTGTCAATCAACGTATGCAGGAAGAACCAGCCGAAGGGAGAAAAAGGGAGAGAAAAAAAAGTTTGGCAAAAGGCGAGATCGAACCCGGGTCGATCGCATCAAAAAGCCAACGACAAGCACTTATCCATCTACGCCACTGGAGCTGATGTTTTACAGCTGCTTTTAACTAAATGTAAATTAAAACACACCTTAGTATTGATATTTTTTGTTTGAGTATCGATACTTTCGATACTCACGTCAGTATCGATATATCGATACTTTGGATCGATACGCCCATCCCTACTGATTTGTCGATTTGTATTCGGATTTGTCGTTGTGTTTTCTGACTTGTTATAATGTTTTCTGAATTGTTGTTGTGCTTTCTGAATTGTTATTTTGTTTTTTAGACTTGCATTTGCGTTTGTAATTTGTTATTTTGTTTTCAGAATTGTGATTTACTTTGCACTTCTCTGCCACCGTATAATTCCTTTACTTGAGCTTTTATTTTGGAGGCAACCTACAATAAAAGCATAGATTACATGTTTATGTTTGGCTTTAAATTAATTAATTGTGCAACATCAGTAGCTAGAACAGTAACCAAGTAATATTACACAGCATAACACTGTATACAGACACAACACTTACCTAGCTCGGCTACAGAAAACACGACGGAGTCCGCGTTTTTCTCAAGCGTGGCTGTCGCTGGATTCAAGGCCCCAGTCAGATGACTGGCTGGTCGGTGTTCTAGCACAGACTCCATAACGCCGTGGTCGAATGTTTTAGGAATCTGTCCACTGTCACTTTTACTTGGTTTCCTTTTCAGGTCCCTGTACTCCTTCCTAAGCTTTTTTAACTTGTTTATGATTTGTTCGGTCGAGCGACTGAAGCCACCGTTCAGCATTTCCTGGCTTATTTCATCGTAAACTCTTTTCTTCCTTATCGAGCTCTCCAGTTTCTCCTGGATCTCTGTGGAAGACCATATCGCGAGCAGCACGCTGGTTTCCTCTGAAGACCAGTGATGTGTATTTTTGTTTTCGGACATTTTTGTAATATACAGTTAAAAGGCACGGTCTCTGCACACTGTTGCTGGGAGTTTTGAAAACGTTTATTGGTGACGTCACATTTCCCGCCCCCCGGCATTATTGGTTCCTAGTTCAAGAAGCACGGCTGTGGCTGGCCATCAGATCAGAGCTCCTCCAAGCGGCTCTTGCGCATGTACATTGTGGAGAGTTTGATTCATGTCTGTCTCAAACTCGAATGTTTTAAATTTGTTCTCCAAAAAGATGAATTCCATGGCTCTTTGTGAAGGTTACAGCGTCAAGTAAGTAGGGAGCGACAAGTGTGTTGTCAGTACATCCCTGATACTGATGTTGTATCGAGAGGATCGATCCTCACATAAAAATATCGATTCTAAAGTGCATTTTTTTAACCATTAATCATTAACCAACTATTATAATTATTTCTGAAGGATCATGTGACACTGAAGACTGGAGTATTGATGCTGAAAATTCAGCTTTGATCACAGATACATTTTAAATTACATTTTAAAATATATTAAAATATAAATAATAATAAATGTTTCTTGAACAGCAAATCAGCATATCAGAATGATTTCTGAGGGATCATGTGGCACTGAAGACTGGAGTAATGATGCTGAAAATGCACAGATGCATTTTAAATTACATTTGAAAATATATTGCAATAGAAAATAGCTATTTTTAATTGTTATATTTTACCATATTGCTTTTTTACTGTATTTTTATTAAAATAAGTGCAGCCTTGGTTAGCATGGTTAGAGACTTCTTTCAAAAACATTACAAAATCTTACTGACCCCAATCTTTTGAACAGTATAGTGTACATGTTATATTTATTTTAATTAGGCTGTGCAAGTAAGTTTATTTAAACTGATTGTTAAAAGTTCAAATGCATTGTGTTATGTTCTGTAATTGCTGTTAATAAATCTGTCAGAAAAAAAAATATGCAAAAACAGCTTGGCAGCCTTAAACAAAATTATATTAGTATATAGTTTTATTACTGTAACCACAGTTTACCACAGCATTTGTAGTAAAACTGCAGTAACCACAAATTTACCATGGTAATAATACTTTTTAGAACTTATGTAACACCATGTTTATTTTTCATGAGGTATCCTCAAAGGGGCACCTTTGTAACTTATCTACCCTTAAAGCATGCATACTTATATGGTACTAATATGCTCCCTTTTAGGGGTATAGTTGCACCTTTGAGGTTACTGCCCCAGTAAAGGGCTAAAATACAATTATAGTATATTTTATTTCTGACAGTGTAAACAAAAAAGGCCTATGAAATGTTAAAAAATTGAGTATAATTACTAATTATATATTATTTTAATAATTTAAAAGATCAGTTTAGTTTAGAAGTATCGATATCGACGATACTGGGTTTGGAAATATCGGTATCGGATCGGAAATTAAATAAGAGGTATCGCCCATCCCTAGTTGTCAGTGAGTCATTGAATTGTTTACTCAACCGATTCGTTAACAGCATAGAGTCATTCTCGATGGAAACAAGTCTGATTGAACTTAGTGCCATTTTAATTGTGTCAGACATTTTCATTTAATCCACCTCTGTTTTATCCTTAGGCTTATTTGAGACACCAATGCCTCCCTGTAAATGTAGAGTTTAGATGGATGCAGTCAAAAACGCTTTCAAGTTGGGCAATTCCAAGTTCATGGACCAGCAAACTATGTAAGCTTTGCTTCTGATGTAAATAACGAGTCATAATTTGATGTAAATACAGAGATTGAGTGAGTAGACTTTCATGTGTTTAAGACTTCACTGCAAAAATGATTTCCATTACAAATATATAAGCATTCTTAAAACAAGATAAATTTACTTGAAAAGCAAAATAACTTTTTTAAATAAGTTTTGTTTCATGAAAAATTCATCAAAATTGTGTTAGCTCTGCGAACGAGGCAAGGAAAATAATCTTGTTTTGCCTTTGAATTAAGGTTCTTTTTCTTACCCTATTGGTAGATAGTTTTTCTTGTTTTAAGCAAAAACTAACAAAAAGTTTTCTACATTTTTCAGAAAACAAGACATAATATCTTATGTCATATTGCTTCTCAAGTAAATGCATCTTGATTCTAAAAATGCTTAAATATTTATACTAAAAAAAACAAGACAAACTCTCTTTTTATTGCAGTGTGCAGCCTTCATCTTGTGTGAGTGTACATAATTTTTAAGGTTTTCAAAAGTACTATTATTTATGTGTAAAACTATACTAATCAGTAACACAATACTGAGAACACTTTTACATAGAAATGTTTGCTGTAATCTGGGATTTTTTTTAGTTGAATTAATGCTCAGATAATGGAAATATTAACCTAGTCAGCAGGAAGGAATACTCAATCAGTTTTATTTGGTTTGTTAAGCAGCGTTATAAAATCTGACCAATTAAAATATCTTGTGAGATATGACTTAGGGATACCATTGAGGAGCCAAAGTTGTTGATACAGATGCTCGCCATTAGGTGGCAGTATGTACTTGTCTATATGTGATCTAAAACGTTGGACATCATATAACAAAGATAAATGGTATACCTTTACATCTAAGCCAGAATGTAATATCTCAGCTAGTTGGATATGACAGTGAAATTCTAGAAGACTTTTTAAACCTGAGGCATGACATGTATTTATTGCACAACAGCTTTCATTCATTTCACGTAGAGCACAAACCTTGAAGCAACTCATTTGTTGTTGCTGACATGAGAGGACAAAGTTGTAAAAAGTGTGGTATCACTTCTTTACAACACTCTCTTATAACAAAGTATATCTCTGTGCACTTTTGTGACCAGTTCTGGTCATTTGTAATGAGCACTTGCATTTTGTGTTAACCCTTGTGTTGTGTTCAGAACCCTATCACACTTTCGAGTTTCAGTCCAATGCGATAACATTAACTAGTTTTTTCGGGAAAAATAATTTTTTTTCAGAGCAAAAAGGACCCGAACACCACTTAATGAGTGAAGCCTTTGGATATTGGAGTTAGTAGCACTCTTAAAAAGAATCACAATCATATAGTTTTTTTATTGACTCTAGGGAGGATGACCCTTGTGTTTAAAAGTTAATATCAAGTAACTTAGACCTTGTTCAGATTTTTTTTGAACGTATTTTGGGAGTTGAGGGTGTTGAAAATATTGTTTCAGATATAAGATCTAATGACTGGCTGCATATTTCATATCATATTATACCATTCAACAATGTATTTGTGCAGAACTATTGACAAAGTTATAGTAGAGTTACTGAATTGTTCTAATCGTCTTATTTCTTATTCCATCTACTTTTTAAATACTGGATGATAGATGTCTGTGAGGTGTGGAGTCTTGGCTCTTTCTCATTTTGGCTGCGAATCCAGACTATAAGCAGGAGCCCAAATAATGCGGCACTGAAATTAAAATCAATGTAGGAGGAAACACTGCCACTGCCAGAGGGAGGTATGCAAGGTCACAGGCCAGTATCATTTTTTACAGACACAGAATCTCAATATTTTCCAAGAGGGTCACGTTTAATCAAGAAAAGCAGCAAATAGTTGGTTTCATAAAGAACTTGCTGTATTACAAACAGTGGTAGGGGCCACAGAGAAGATTTAAGGGGTCAGTTATTGAATGTGTTGGTATAGCCTAAATCCCAAGGGAATAATTAGTCATTAGCAACAGGAGAAATCTTGTTGCATAGCTCCAATGTGAAGAACTGTGGCAGATTGAATTTAAAAAAAAAAATGAACTGCCAATTTTATATATAGCTTATGAATAGTGATGTGTGTTTATATTGTATTAGATTATTTTTAGTATACATTTTCATTGTAAAGTTTAAGGTTAATTTGTTTTACATCTAAAACATTATTTATCATTTTGTGCAGTAACAACATTTTATATGATTAGAATTTAAAAGAAGATTAATGTTTGAAAGAAGCATCTTATGCTCACCATGGATTTATTTGTTTGATCAAATCTACAGTAAAAAACAGTAATAGTGAAATGTTATTATAATTAAAAATAGTTTATTTTTTACACATTTATTCCTGTGATCGCAAAGCTGAATTTTCAGCATCATTACTCCAGTCTTCAGTGTCGCATGATCCTTCAGAAATCATTCTAATATGCTTTGTTAATATTTCGTATTATTATCAGTGTTGTGAAAACGGTTGTGCTGCTTAATATATTTGTGGAAACTGAAACAATTTTCAGGATTCTTTTATGAATAGAAAGCTCAAAAAAAATTATTTGAAATATTCAACTTAATAAATGCACTGTTTAATTTCTAATTAATTTAATAGTTCCTTGCTAAATAAATGTAGTAATTAAAAAAAAATCTTACTGACCCTAAATGTTAGTATATGTATAATTAATGTAATTTTACCCCTCTATCATCAATAGCAAATTAGCTTACAGTTGACCATTTAATAGTTTATTAAAGCATTTTTCTTCTTTTCCATTGTACTAAAATTTATTTTTTCACAATGTGGAGCATCTAGTGTCTCGATGAATTGTTTTTGTAGAGATTCAATCAGCAACCTTATGCTTTTGTCCGCTGTTTTAATCTCCACATCATCTGCATCTCTATAGCCTATACTTCTGACAGGGTTTGGTATTGTCAGCTGTCACCTGCTTAATGTGGAATTTTAGATGACACAACATTGTAGACATCGACCTCGCCAGTGGAAGGATGTCACACACTCATTCAGGATGTAGGCGTATATTGGCTGACGGTGAATGACAGTCTATAGGGCTGGTATGAACTAACATCCTGTCCCTGCTGACTTTTCTTCGGTTCGTCTGCCTCGTGTAGCTGATTAGCCAAGAGCAAGAGGGAGACAGAAGCACAGATGGCTAACTGTGATATATTTGAGCTAGTGTCCAGGGTCAACCACCTCTCAGTTTTTCTCTCTTTATGTATTTCTGTCTATTTCTTCCCATTACTTCTACCCACTAATTACATGAGTCCATACGGGAATTCTTGCAGGGTTCTCAGTATCTGTCTATAACATTTTTGTTTTTGAATGAAAACCCTATTTTTGAATACATTAGATTTTATATTTATTGTAATGTGTCATTCAAGCATGTAAATGGATAAGTGGTATTTAA